TAGGCGGGCAGCTCCAGGAGCACCGGAGCTTGGTGAAACACTGTAGTTATCTAGCAAACAAGTTCTTCTATTCCCAGGAGCTACGGGCCTAAGACTAAGGTCGAAGCTGATAAGACTCTAGCATAGAGGGCATTACTACAGCAACCGGGCATCCTAGGCCTTTGCCCAGAAACTTTCCCAGCACCAAGCCTGCCACAGCCCTGAAGTCATCAGGGACCCCAATCCCAAACACAGAACCCCTACATCAGGGACCCCTCTTGACCACCTTCGTCAAGGCAGCAGCAGCCTTGGAGTCCGGCCATGACATCATGTCTTTCTGGTCAGGTCAGGCTTGCTGCCCCTGATCCCCTCCCTCCACAGACCAACCCAGTCCACACTGAGGGAGCCAGAGCAGGGGGAGGAGAAAAGCTTAGCCACAGCCCCCCACCCCCGGCTTCCAGGTGAAGCCCCCTGCGCTGGCAGGGATCCCAGGTGACACTGAGCAGAGCCTGCAGCTGGGGCTCCACAGACCCGCCTGGACATTTTGCCAACAAAATGAAAATATCCTTGGGAGTGAACACATGCAGGGACCTTGTGATGCTCTGAATGGGCTCTCTCTGGAAGGTTCTACCAGGGAACCCATCCCAAGGCGGGAGGGGTGAGTCTGGGCCAGTCATGCTCAGCAGGCACACACGGGGTGGGGTGAGCAGATGACCTCCTACAGATGTTGATGGCCCTGGGGATACAGCTGTGAAGACAAGGAGTGGGAACAGGCCCACAAGAAGGCAAAGTTGGGGTGCACCACAGGACCAGGTGGGCCAAGAAGACCTGGGGGTCCGGAGCTGCATTCCAAGAGGAAGAACAGCCAGGCCCCGCACAGGGGTGAGAGGCTGGGGCATGACAGAGGTGAAGAGACACGGGGAAGAGGGCCACAGTGCCAGGGCACTCACGGAGCCCAGGGTGCCAGGCAGTGACAACCACTGGCCACTAACCTGCAGCCCTGCACTAGGAAACCTCACAGCCACAGGGCAGGGCTGGATGGAACAGCTCCCAGAGGACAGAAGGTGGCTGGCAGGGCACCTCTGGAGCTGAGAGTCAGACCCACACCTGCAGCTGGGATGGACCCCATGTCTGCCGTGGCGTAACCTAGGGCCATGAGCACCGTCCACCTGCCACCCGGGTGCAGCTCTCCTGGTTTATGTGGAGCCCGTGCATTCTCATGTCTGGGCTGCCTTTTCCTTTTTCTTTTGCATGTTTTAAAAGCAGCCTGTGTTGGGACATCAGATGTTTTAGTAGTGACGGATGATTAGGGCAAAGCCCAGCTCTGCCTCCTAATAGCTCTGTGGCCTTGGCAAGTCCCTTAACCTCTCTGAGCTTGAGTTCCTTAGGAGTACTCATCAAAGGGCTGGCACCAAGTAAGCACCCCAAAGGGCAGAAAAGTGAGGTTTGAATGCATCTTGTTTTTAGTGAGCTGCACAAGGCTTGCCTGCCATTTTTTCTCCTCATGAAAATTCCTGATCTCTGACCTTAGGTTTGTCCAGGCGATCGATCTCTGCTGATAACAGATCATGAATGTTACAGGTGCCCGGTGCCAGGTTTTCTGTGTGTCCTCATTTACTCTGCCTTTCTGTTGCTGCCCCTACTCCCATTTTACCAGTTGGGGTTCAAAGCAGGTAGTCTTGAGGCCATGCTGATGGGACACCCCAGGTCCTGGCCTAGGGTGCAGCTCCCTGGCAGGGCAACTGTGAGTCGCTGCAGCCGGGGCCCAGTTTCCCCAGGCCGCCTTCAGTTGTCTTGCGTGGGACATGGCATGGGCTCCTCGGTGGCGGTGGCGAGGCTTCCGCCCTCAGGGCTGCCGTTTCACAAGCAAACCCTGACTCCAGCACAGCCGTCCACATGTACTCCTTGGGCACGTGCTGGATTCAGAGATCTTCAGGGTCCAGGTTTGGCAGGGGTGTGTCTTCCAGGGAGAACAATGGGTGGGTGGGCATTGTGCAGAGCACAGTTCAACCTGGGCTGGTGGCCCCTGCCAGGCAACCACAGGGAGCAGGTGCATCTGTCCCCACCCAGCAGCTGAAACATGCAGAACTGACCAAGCCACATCCACAGGCATTGTCCTCTCAGGAGGAGCCACTCCCACTGGAAGTCAAGTGCAGAATGCCCCAGCCTTGTCAAGGGTGACAACCATGTGACAGGAGCATTTTGGGAGAAAATCCTCCTCCTCCTGGCCTCCAGCCCTGCCATTGCTTCTGAGGCAGTTCTACACAAATGCTCCCGACACCTTTAGACAAAGGGGCCACACGACTTCCTGTCTCTTCCAGAGTACCAAGTCCTCGACCCTCTCTTCAAGATGGGCTTCCTGTCTTCAGAGCTGTCTTATCACTTCTGCAGCCACAACCGGGGCCTTTTCTGCAGCACGGTGTGGTCTTTTCTGGGTGTGGAGGAGGTACCCTGGCTGGGGAAAGCCACCTGCCACTGCTGGGGTTCCTTGCGGGACCCCACTGGGAGCTCTTGTGGGAAGCTTAGGTCTATCCAACTGGGATACTTCTCCAGAGAAGCAGAACCACCCTGCCTCTAGGATCAAGGGCCATTCCAGAGGACTGGGCATTTGTGTGCCCAGGCTCAGCCCAGCATCTGCCCCCGTGGGAAGCTGTCCATGAGACCAGGGAGACGCTCCACTCAGCACCTGCCCAGCACAGAGTCCCTGTGGATGCAGAGCTATGGGGACAAGGGCCTCCGCAGCACTGCTGTGCCACTCCAGCCTGGCCTTGTGGGCTCTGTGGACATCTGGCTGGCCAGGGGCCCATGGATGCCCCTGCTCTTGGTTGAGTTTCCCAAACATTGTGAGCTCTGCTGGTTCTGTGGTTCTGAAAAGGGTCCCCATGGAGATATATCTCTTCTGTTAAAACCTTGCTGTGGTGGGAGGACCCCAGGCCTGTCCTCTGCATGTCTGAGCCGAGGAGGAGGTGGGCTGCCCTCCTCTGCCTGCCTACCAGCAGGCAGGGCACGGGGCGTACTCATGACCTCCCCTGCCCTCAGTTCCTTCCATCAAAATCAGGGTAGTGCCCCGACTTGCTAGCATTGTGGAGAGGACTGCTTGATGCCAGGCCCTGGCTCCTCCCCAGCCCCACTCACACTGGAGCCCATGATGACTGGAGGGGCAGCCTAGGGCCAGGCATGAAGCCACAGGTGTCCCACAGATGTGCAGGGAGTGCTCCCTGCTCGGTGCACTGCCCTTCTTCTGTCACGTAACAAAAATTAAAAAGAGATTATAAAATAAAACTGGAGGAGACAAAATAAAAACAAAAAAGAAAATTAGAACTGCAACATGAGGTCACTAAAAAAACAAAACAACACAAAACCTCAGTAGATGAAAAAAGTCTGACTGACACCAGAAGGGATGTTTAGTGAACAGTCCACCCAGAGCACAGACAGATAAGCTTGAGCAAGGTGGCTCTGAGACGTGGAGAACAGAGAGGCATCCACCAACTTGAGAATCAAGGTCAGGGTGGATAGACGCCATGACAGGAAGGCCGAGAAGCGGCCAGAATTGAGGGCATGGATTCAGAAGGGTCACATCAAGTGCTAAGCAGCATCAAATGAATTTGTACTCAGAAACACTGTAATGAAATTCCAGAACAGGACACAGTAAGGGAAGGCAGATTCCCTGCACGAAAATTACGTGCAGGGAGCCGCAGCCAGGGACTAATGTCTTAAATGTTCTGATAGACGGTAGCTGTCAACAAGAAACTCTGCACCAGCTAAACAATCACTTAAGAATTAGATCAAAATGAGGACTTGGTACATTCACAGACTTAGAACCACCCACATCACATGTCAAAAGAAGGACCAAAGGTGGCATTGCAACTGGAGAAAATGTGAGGACAGAAAATGGCAAAATGTTTCCACCTATAACTAATCATTGATTACAAAATGCCATGTAGTATTCTGTACCATGCCTGTGGGCTCCTCGGTCAACCACCTGGAGCCTGCCCACTTAACTGCAGGAGCCAAATATCTGATAAGTGCCTGTGGGCACAAACTTTGCAAACCTGTAACCAAAATATTCAGGGGTATACAACTGCTAGTATCTCTGCAATGTACATGGGGTGTGGGGAGGAGTGCTGGTAACAGTCAGCTGATCAGTCAGTTTGGTAGACACATTCACTGGGTCCCTATGTCCCCAGTTTAGTACTCTCTTGCGTGCCAGTGGACATTGTCTCCTGCTCTGCTTTCCATTCCACAAGTGTCCCTTCAGTTCCAAGTGTTTGGATGCTGTGTTACTGTCCTGCAGTCCTGGAATTCCCGTCTGCTTCCTTCCGGCAGGCCAGGATCATCTTTGCTTTCACCACCTTACACACGCTGAACCATTGCCCTGAGAGTGTTTTCGCGCTGGTCTCAGTATTCGGGCCACTGGTCAGTCTGTTTTCGTGACCTTCCTGGGACCTGACCATGTGCTCACACTGCCCTGGGTATGACACAGAGCATATGAAGAGCTGTGGGACTTACTTAAGATCTCCGGTGATGTTCCCTTCTTCCTGTGTCCAGGACCATCTCGGTGCCATTGGGATCTGACTGGATCAGCAAGTGGCCTCAGAACATCAACTGAAGCTGTGGTCACTGGTCTCTTGACAGCCTCGCTCAGTAGTAGAGCCTTCTGACGTCTCTGCCAGTTAGGCGGTTGCTCATGCAGGAAAAGTGACCCCTACAGCCATGCTCGGCCTGATGGAATTACCTTTGTTTTTGTGTGTTCAACCTCTCCAGTTTCCATGGGCGGCGTCCGGAAGGCCTCACCTGCCGTCACAGCAGAAACCCGGCCACGGCCCGCAAAGCTGCCCACGCGCTGCGGCTCCTGTGGCTGACCCGCTGGCCCTGGACCGGCCCCACCCTCGCCGCGCTGCCCCCACGCCCTCGCCCTACCCTTCCCTCCCGAGCCCCGCCCTCGCCCCTGCCCCGCCCCCGCCCACTCCTGCCCCGCCCTCTCCATCGCCCCTCACCGCCCTGTAGAAGACACAGCGCGCGCAAGCGCAATATAGCGCCCTCTGCGGCTCGGCGCCCGCAGGCACCCCGTAGCGCGGCGTCTCCAGGGCGACCGTGGGCCCAAGCCGCCTCCATTGTTGGCGGCGCCCCCTACTCTCAGCGGCCGGGCTGCAGGCGTGCAGCAGAAGGGTCCGCAGGTAGGGCGGGCGCGAGGCGGGCGGGGCTGCAGGACGGGCGGGGCGGAGGCAGGGGACTCCAGACACAGGCAGGAGAAGGCGGGGCCGTCCGCTGCGGGGCGCGGGGTGGCTGCTGAGTGGGGTGTGGCTGCGGGATGCGGGCGGCTGCGGGGCGGCTGCGGGGCGGCTGCGGGGCGGCTGCGGGGCGGCTGCGGGGCGGCTGCGGGGAGTGGTGTGCCTGAGGGGTGGAGCTGCAGGGGTGGTGTGTGTGCGGGGCGGGGTGGGGCGTGCCTGCGGGGCGGGGCTGCGGGGCGCGGTGTGCAGATGCGGCGAGGCTGCAAGGCGTGGTGTGCCTGCGGGGCACGGTGTGCCTGAGGGGCGGGGCTGCGGGGCGCGGTGTGCTTGCAGGAGGCTGTGGGAGGTGGTGTGCCTGCGGGGCCGGGCGGGGCTTCTGGGCGGACTTGGGGGAGTTGTGCCGGCAGCGTGGCCTTCCGCGGGGGCTTTGGATAAGGCTGCGCCAGGCTCTGGTCTCCTTTCCTGCAGAGACCGCTTGGGCTGGGAACTTGAGACAATTCTCGACCAGGCCAAATGGGGAAAATAGAGGCGGGGCCATCCTTGCATATTTCAGTTGGGGTGTGGACGTTTTCCCTGTTGGGTCTGTAGAGGGCTGAGGCCTACCCTTCTCTGCTAATCACCAACCACCTACTGTGCAAAGGCCAGGATGTCCTGGGGAGCTCCTGTTTACCTTCATGCAGACCTGGCTCCCCATTATCTGCGCGCCCTTGGGGCGGCTCCTTCACTGACTGGAACCCCTCCTCCTCCCTAAATGGGAGTGAAACGAACACGTATCAGTAACTGGGTCGTCCATTAGATGTGCATGTAAGACCCATAAGCATTACAGAGTTGATTATCAATGCTGGACAAAGTGGAGCTGTGCCTCACCGCTGAGATTTGGGTGAGCAACAGTTCTTAAACTTGGTGTTGAGCAAAGGTATTGCTGGACAATTAAGATCCAAGGTTCTAATTTCACTTTCTGTGTCAGTGTGATTGGTTGTTGCTGGGTCTCCCCTGCCTGTGTTTGCAGGTGACTCCAGACCAAGGAGGATGAGCCGTGGCCGCTGGAGGGCTACAGATGGAGGGAAGCTGCACCTGTGGGGCTCCTGCTGGGGCTGCTGAGGATGCAGAGGAGGGTGCTAATGGAGTCAGTGGTTTGCCTGCCTCCCCTTCCAGAGATGTTCATAGGATTATTGAGAGAATCATCTTTTCTCCCTCACCAAGTTTGGACTTGAGTCAAAGTGGTCTGCATCACATGGGAGAGGTCTTCAAAATCCCCAACCTTCAAGTAAGTGGCAGTTCCTTGGGATGTTGTCACACAGGTGCTGTGCAAATAAGTGGAGCACCCAGCCCTGCGCTTGCTTGCTAAGTATCTTGCTCTTTGGAGAATATTCTAGAAAGAGGCAGAGAAGGGTTAATTGGGCTTTCATATTGCTGATCACAACAAAGAGAAATCGAGATATGGGCCATGGCAAGGGCAGTGGTGCATCTGCTCACAAGTGGGAGCCCATCCTGCAGGCCATCACTCTCCACCAAGGCCCCATGGGAGAGGCAAGCACCCAAACATCTTTGGTCTCTTATTTAAAAAACAAACTCCTCCAAAAACCTGAGCAGTGGAACAGCAGTTAACCCGGTTTCTCCCACTGCTTTCCCTGTTGCTGATGTGACAGCCATGGCCTTGGTGCTGGGCACCTCCTGAGGGCAGTGCCTGGGAGTGCTTCTGGAGCACCGCCTTGTTAGAGCACAGCCTTGATGCAGACCTTGCTGCCCCCCAGCAGTGCCAGCCCGACTGGAGTCACGGAGGGTTCTTAACTCATTTGACTTCATCTGGAGTCTGGGATTATTGTGAAGTGCAGCCATAATGCACGTGAAGACAGTGTGTGGAACACTTGTGATGTTAGTTGACATGCCCAGCAGTTTCACAGAAGCTGCACTTTGGCATTTTAGGTGGCGCTTGCAGTGCTGAAGCCTGCTTGCCAGTTTGTGTTTACCTGTTTGCTGCCAGGGCCGGCGCTGCTCTTGCTGTTCTTTATTAGCACTGACCTCTGAGGGCTTTTCCAGCACAGGGACCCACCTCATCCTGTGATGGGCTCCTGTGTGTGTCACTTGTGATGAAGCAGATGTCGAGCCCTGAAGTTCCCATTGACTCTGTGCCTACAGGAGAGGAGGAAATTCCAAGTCCTTCAGCTTAATAGAGAAGCGTCACAACTGTTTCCCTTTCGTGAGATAGATGAATTTTATTGCCATACCAACAAATCAGTAAGTGAGGTAACCACTCACACTTGCAGACTCTCAGGGGTTACAGGCCACATTTTGTAGCTATAGAGCAATCCTTGGAATTGTAGGTCGCACTTCCAGAGATACTGGTACTCAGGGGACATGTAAAGAATGCTCCACCTTCACACTCCCAGGACGTTGAGGCAGGGAGAGGCCACACACTCTTCCACCCCACCAGCTTCACACGGGGTAGTGCCTGCATTTCCGGGGGTGCTGGGAAGGAGTCCTCTTACTGGCCTTCAGGAGGACCTGTTGGTACCAGAATTGGCTGGTACCAACAGGGCAAGCACAGACTGGAAGGCTTAATACTCTGCTCCAGCAGCTGACCTGGGAGGGTCCTGCATGGAGGCCTGTGTGTACATGCACAGCTGACCTGGAGGCACATACTGTGCACTGATGGCCACACTGCTTTCCAGAGAGCGTGCCAGCTGCCAGCAGGCAGGGACAGGGGTTTTCTAATAGGCATATGATTTTCAATGCATTTATAGGAGCATGACTTTTCTAGTCAGTGTCTCGCAGAGGCCTGTAAATGGTTTGGATTTGGGGGCTTGTGGAGCTATGGTATACAAGGAATTGCCTGATTGCCCACTGAGTAGCAGACAGTGTAGTGGTAAAAGGCCAAGGATCACAGGCACTCCCTGATTGGGGCACACCCTGTGAGGTGGGGCCCAGCAGCTGTGGTGAGGACACTGGAACACAGAGGTTCCAGAACTTGGTCAAGGCCACACAGCTGATAGGTTTCAAGACCTAGCTTTGAGCCCAGCCGTCTGGCTTCAAGGTCATGCTCTGAGCATCTGTCTCTGCCTCCTCAGTACGCCTAGGTACAGGAGGAGATGGGTGTTATAATGCTAATTGCATGATGTTAAAAATTCCTTTCATCTGGCCATTCTATGATTGTGCAATTACAGACACCTTATTCCCCCCCTTGTCCAGAAATATTAAGTAGAAAATTTGAGGAATATATAACTCATAAGTCTTAATGACTTTTATGAATTGTACAGTATGGCTAGATGGTTCTGTTATTTCTCTCTCTCTCTTTCTTGTAGTTGTAGATGGACAGATTGCCTTTGTTTTGATTATTCTTATGGGTGCTGAGGATCGAACCAGTGCCTCACACCTGCCAGGCAAGCGCTCTCACTGGGCCACAGCCCAGCCCTGCTGTTGCTCTTGGTTGTGGCCCTCTTACATGCCTCTCCATGAGTCCCACCTTACCTTAGGTGTGTGCGTATTGGGGGATGCACGCAGCACATATGCAGTACTTTTCGATGGTTTCAGCCTCCCAGTGGATAGGTGGGGACAGTTGTGTGTAGGTTGTAGGTATACAAGCAGTCTTGCTGCCACATGGTCTTATCCATGATGGTGACTTGGATGTTTCTGAGCTGATGTGCCACACTGTTCTGAAATGGCTTCTGAAGGGACTTCTGTGCACCCATCTATCATAAATAGTGCCATGGAAGACCCCTATGCCTCTGTCCAGCAGCTTTCCCTTAGCATGAACTTGGGTGGATCCCCAGGACCCGCTCATCAAGGGAACAGTTCACTGGGCTACCAAGAGCCATGACGCTGAGTGTGGAACATAGGAGGGAGAAAACGGTCTGTGAAGTCCTGGGTGAGTTTGGTGTCAAAGGGTACTTCATTGAGAAAGCAAGGTACTTGTCATGGCACAACAGAAGTCACAGCTCTGAAAAGAACTCTGCTCTGATTCTGGGTCAGCTGTTTAAATTCTAGAAGGGGTAAAATGTCTTTTTACTTTTTAATGTGCCACACATGGTAGTTAGTATAGTGTCTTTCTGAAAATGCTTTCTTGAATAAACCATGTTTCGAAATTGGGTTGGTTAATGAGACATTTTCTGTTCTTTTCTGTGCAAGCAATTACATCTTCAGAGGAATGCCCTCTGCATGATTCCTAGAGGTTTCTTCCAGCTGCTGCCAAACCTGACTTGGCTCGACCTCCGGTACAACAAAATCAAGGCGCTTCCCTCTGGGATTGGCTCTCACAAGTGAGTCAGAGTTCCTGTTGCCATCTCTTTAAGCTGCGTCAGTGTCTGCTCTCCTGCAACTTGGTTTCTGTTGCTCATGGGGTGACTTTAGAATGGAGGGTTAGATGATTTCAGAGCCAGTCGGAGGTGTGCTGTCCAAATGCGCCACACTCTCCTAGCCGTGACTGTGACGGGGCTCTAGGACACCAGGAGGGATGGTGCTGCCTCCACGTCTATTGGGCAGCCAGTGCTGTGCTGGTGACAGCTGGTTCCACCTCAGACTCCCCTTGTGCAGAACCACCTGCAGGTCAAAAGTACCACTGATGAATTAAATCCAGCCACTTCATTCCAGTGAATCCTATATAATCAGTATGGGATCTTGGAAAATAGTGAGAAACATCTCATTTGGGGAACTGGAAACCTGGCCACCAGCAAGCAATGTGTGCTGTCCTGCCACATTCCTGCCACTCTGATTCCACGAGCACAGTCCTATCCCATCCTTGGAGCCTGGCCTCCTCTGGGCCTGTGCCCAGCAGCCAGCACTCCTTGCTGTAGAGACCCCCTTTCCTGTGCCCTCTTGGTACTTTCTCTTCTATACCATCAGAAGCCGTCCTGCAAATGTGTTGACAAACCGTCAGTCCCTCCTCTAATGTCAGCCTCTGGGAGGAGGGCACACAGAGACCTGGGGTAGGTGTGTGCTTGGCAGGTAGGTGCCAGGCATGGCATGGAGGCCAGGGTGCAAATCAGAGCTGGGGGCGTAGTAAGGTCTGGAGTGTCACTGAGCTTGGAGCCTACAAGGTTGGATCTGGAGTGTCCCCCAGAGGCTCCTGTGTTGAGGCTTGGTCCCAGGAAGCAATGTCCAGAGGCAGGGCTTTGGGGAGGTAATTGAACCATACAGGCTGACCTCGTCAGTGGACCAACCCATTGATGGGGCATAGCTGAATGGACACTGGGAGGTGGTGGACACTGTAGGAGGTGGGACCTCGTTGCAGGAAGTGGGCCAGTAGGGGTGTCCCTGGGAGAGTGTCTCCTGTCCCCTGCCCCTTCCTCCCTCTCTGCTTCTCGGATGCCAGGAGAGGAGCCCTTTCCTCCACATGCCCTGCCATCACCACAGGCCTAAAAGCAATGTGCCAGCCGACCGTGGCCCTAAGCCTTTGAAACTGTGAGCCCAAATGCTCCTTTAAGTTGTTCTCCTCGTGTATTCATCCCACAGTGGGGAGCCAGCCAACAGAGCCCATGTTCTCAACTCTCGGATTCATTTAGGGAGAGCTGGGAAGTCCCAGGAGGGGTGAGTGGAGAGGGAGCAGTGGGACTTGGCCTGAGCCACACCATGAGGGGAGGCTGCAGGGACGAGAGTGGAAGTAGGGGGATGGCTGGGAGGCCACTGCAGCCGTCCATGCCGGAGGCAGCACCTGGCCGAGCCTCGGGTGGGGTGGAGGTGGGGCTGGAGAGGAAGTGTCGTGTCCTCCCGACTGAAACACCCAGGGTCACTCCAGGGGAACTGGGCTGCGTGAAATATCCACACAAGAGACAGACTTTTTTCTTTGGGTTCATGTGACAGCTCCTCTGACCTTAAGGGTCCACAGAAAGAGAGAGAGCGAGGAGCACGTGCTGAACCCTTTTATTGGGGAGAAGCCATTCAAATGAGGCAAGGGGTCAGGTTTCAGGGGGCTGAGTCTAGCTTCGTGATGTCTGCTGTCAGCAGGTTGACTGACATCTAGGAAGGTCATGCCCAAAGGCAGAGCAAGAGAAGGGGACACACAAAGGGCATTTCCAGGGAACATTCTGTCCCAAGCAGGGCAAAGGGGTAACATCACAAAGGAACAGGTGAGGGTGGCTCAATCCATGGGGCGACCGGCCTACGTCTGAAGGCGTGTCCTCAAACTTCCGGGACTGGAGCAATGTCCAGGTCACTAAGATGTGGTGAGGGTCAGAGCCTCTCCGGCTCAGGGAAGGAAAATGCGAATCATTCAGACTCGCTCCCCACAAGGAAGAGGGGCGTCTGGAGGTGACCCGAGTTCCTACACCATTGTGTCCCCAGTGACTGTGTCATGGAGGCTGCGGTGCAGCGCCAGGGTGAGGCTTTTGGAAGTAGTTTAAGGAGTGCTCTTGCTCCATGTGACCATGAGGAGTGCCCATGAGTCGCTAGCCCAGTCTGCTGACAGGCTGGTACTGAAGCAGGTGGGGACGCCTGGAGTGCTGGGGGGCGTCACGGGTGGACCCAAGAGGAGCCAGCATTTGAGGCAAGGCTGCCCAGCAGCCTCATGTGCCTCTGAGCTGGTGGCTTCTGCATTTGGGAAGGCTTCCTGCCTCACACGGCCATCAGCCTCTGTGTTTGGATGAGTGAGTGCTTTTTGTTCATAAATTATCTTAGCCTCAGCACTCAGTTCGAGTGAGTAATTGCTACTCAAGAGTAAAAATAAACTAAAGCCTATTCCTGCAAGTATACTTCTTCCTAAAATAAGCACACAGAGCTCAGAGTTTGGAATTCTTTGATTTTGCCAGCCAAAGCCTGCTGCATCTTGTTGTTTAAGGTACACCTTGTTCTGTGATTTATGACCCATTACATGATTAAGATGGGATCAGTTGCTGAAGAGCTAAGACATGTCAATTAGAAATCTTGAGTGATTGTAGACCTATTAAAAACCTTAGACTTTCCCCTTCTCAGTGACTTGGACATGTGAGTTTTCTAGCAGAGAGAAATTCTTAAAAAATAGATCCCAAGGCAAACAAGTCCAATTTTATATGTAGATTTGTATGTTCAATTGAGAATCATTGAAATGAAGTAATCCATGAGTGAAGGTTGAACTACTAGGACATAAGGGACTGTGTTACAAGTCAGTCGTTTACAGTGTTTATGAGAACATTCTGGGGCAATGGTACATGGTAGGGGACTCTCCTGTGCTCTTGGGAAGCATCCCATCTCCCAAGAAGGAGCACTGCCACGAGGGCCGAGCTCCCCGGGGCTTTGCCGCTGGAGAAGAGGAGGCGAGCTGCCTCTGTCCTCTGCCGTCCTGGGTGTCTGGGGTCCTACTGGGAGAGACAGATGTCTCACAGGGAGAGACACCATCCTTGCTTCCTGGTAGCTGTGTCTGTGTGGTGAGAGTGAAAGGGACCGAAACCAAGCAGCCAAAAGGGCAGCACTGGGATGGTCCACCTTGAACACTGCAGGGAAAGATTCCCTCACCAGTTTATTCCTTAAAAACCCCAATAGTAAGGAAAACCCAAGAGAGTAAAAGAAAACTGTCTAATCCTTCGGTAATCTGATTTTCCTCTGGATTGCAATCAGAAAATTCATTTTCATGACATACTGGCAGGAAGCCTCTGTCTTGTACCTGTGTCTTTGTCAGCTGCAATCTGGCCTCAAAAGATCACAGACATGCTGGCTCCCTCGCTGTGCCTTCAGCCCGAGGGTCTGAGGCCCTTCTCAAGGGCACCTGGGAGAAGACAGGACTCCTGGTCACTGTCCACTGTCACCTGCGTACGCTGGCTTCACCAAGAGACAGTGCGGGAAGACGGTGACAAGCCCTGCCTGCTTGGCCTCCTGGGCTGACCTGTGGCCCCGTTGGCTCTCCCTGCAGCAGATCAGGCTGTGCTGAGCCAGGGGCACGGGCAGCACGCAGCACCAGCCCCTACTGTGGCAGCACGTGCCCCGAAAGAAGCTGGGCCACGCCTCTGTTTGCAATGACCCTGGCTGGTAGAAGGCTGCATGGCTCCAGTGGCTGCAGCTGGACAGTGGGGACCCGGCGTGGCTGGGGTGCAAGTCGGTGCGATCCACAGTGGCAGCTCTCCTTCCCTATGCAGCTTCTCAGACCACCCCACATGGCAGAGTTGGCCAGAGTCACATCCCCTACGTGAGGCAGTGCCTCAGTGGGGGGGCCTGTCTGAGTCTCATTTGCCTTGGGGGGTGAAAAAGTCCAGCCCACATCACAGCTGACCAAGATCTCAACGTCTTGAGTACACAGTTGCACAGATGGACAGATGATACAGTCCTCAGAAGTAAATGTGAAAAATAAACAGAAGAAGAAGTGCAGGATAAAGTTAATGTAAAATACTGATTTTTTTCCATCATGATTCAGTCAGTGAATTTTAGAGGGCACCTTTTGTACACCCCATCTGTCTATGGCACATTTTGTCTTGATGCATGAGCTGTTAATAGGCACTACGTGAGAGAAGGCATCCAAGGTCAGACACATCTAGAAGTCCCCTCTGGCCGTGCCTGCCTTGAGACTTCCCAGAAGCCCCATGTGTGACTGCCTCTGATGGCGTGGGGTGTGTCCTGCACAGCTGGGTCTTCCAAACACTGCTGAAAACTCCTTCTGAGCCCAGGAAGCACCGGGACTGCTCACAGCGTGCCATGGGATAGGGGCTCAAGGCGCAGGCCCGACGGGAAGCGGTGGAAAGCCCAGCGCAGGGCTTCTCGGCTGGTGGGTCTGCCCCAGAAGACTGTTGGCAGTGTCCAGAGACAGTGGGGCTGTCACAGCTGGAGGGAACCACACAGCGTCTCTAGGGGGAGGCCCAGGATGCTGCTGAGTGCCCACGGTGCCCGGGCAGCACCCACAATGGAGAGTGGCCTGGCCCCAGGTCCAGGTGGTACCGGGGCAGAGCCTTATGCTGACTGGGGCTGCCAGTGGCAGGTCAGTGCTGGAATCGGGATTGGGATCTATGTTGCACTTACTTCTGAAAGAGGAGGAAAATGAAAAGATTTGATAGTATATTTTAGGTGTGGTCATTTTTAATTTTCTGCTTTTTAATTTTTAATTTTATTTTTTGCTTTAAAGGCATTTGAAAACTTTGCTTTTAGAAAGAAATCCTATCAAAGTGTTACCTGTGGAGCTGGGTAAGTGTTAGAACAATAAAACAAAAGATGATTTTAAATGCTGCTCTTTTGGGTTGCTGGAGCCTGTGGATGTACATAGCAGATATGGCTGGAGGGTGGGTGAGGTAGTATTTCCTTTGTTTTGGTATCAGGGATTGAACCCACAGGTGCTTAACCACTGAGTCATATCCCCCTCCCTCCCAGCCCATTTTATGTTTTATTTTGAGACAGGGTCTCGCTAAGTTGCTGAGGATGGCTTTGAACTCACGACCCTCCTGCCTCAGCCTTCCAAGTGGCTGGGATTACAGGCGGGCGCCACCATGCCCGGCTGTCATGGCTGCTTTGAAGTCTGTCTGCTGGACCCAGCATCTGGGACTGCCCAAAGGCAGTTTTGGGTGACTGCCCACTCCCTGAGGGCAGGACACATTTCCCCACCTCTGTGGGTCTGGTGCAGCTTTTATGCAGCAAATGGGTGTTGCGAGTGATGCATGCAGGTGGCTTTTGCTGCTATTGTTTCATGTAGCCTGTTCTCAATCTGTGGAGTCTGTCTTTCCTGCAGCTTTTAAAGAGCAAGCTCAGGTGTCCTCCTCTGCTCTGACCCCAATACCAACTAGAGTCGTTTTAAATGCAAGACCAGCTGCTTTGATCTCCTCTGTGTCCCCGCAGCAGCGTCTTGCAGAGCACTGACGATTCTCTCCTCCATTGCAGGGAACGTGGCCACACTGAAGGCACTGAACTTAAGACACTGCCCTCTGGAATTCCCTCCTCAGCTCATCGTGCAGAAAGGAGTGGTGGCCATCCTGACCTTCCTGCGGATCTGTGCGGTGGAGCACTCCTTCCCCAGAGAGTCAGCTGCTTCAGGTTTGTGGGACGATGGCTGCGGATACAACTGATGACATCGTGCATGGAAGCTGGGGGTCAAGCTTTTCTAAGCCAGGGTGGAGCTCGTTCATCTCTTCTTGATGTCCTCCTGAAGATCTGGGCAGCTGCTGTCCTCTGTGGGTCCCAAGAGGACCAGCCACACCACCTCGCTTGGCCTGTGCTCGAGGATTCACGTCCCCAGTGTGCATTACCGAGCCTGTCTGGAGGTCACTGTGGAAACCTAATGAAGCCAGCAGGGAGCAGAGGCTCAGGAGGCCCGTGCTCCATTAGAAGACCAAAATAAGCCTCTCCTGTACCTGCAGAGGGGCTTTGCCAGCATGTTGGTCTTGTCAACTCTGCAGCAGGCCCTTGCTAAGCTACTCCACCTTGTCAGCACATGACCAGAAGATGTTTTCAGGGCTCGTGATCTCATCTGATCTCAAGTGGTCTTGTAGTTATTTACACTTAGAAAAAGTAAAGTGAAATAGAGATGAAGGAGAATCACCATGAAGCTCACCAAAACAGTAAACATTCTGAAACATTAACTTCACTGTGTTTAAAGTTGGACTAAGTCATATACTCTATACGTAGGAACATGTGTGCATTTTTAATGATAAGCCAAGAAAGCCACATATATAATGTAAATTGCATATGTAAACAGTTGGCCTATGGCAGTGACACGTGAGCTTGCACATGTGGCCCAGGTGGCATGTACTTGGTAACAGCTTCCAGTGATCCCGAGCCCACAGCCGAGCCCGGGACATGCTCCTGAACTCCTTGGTGGAGGTGCCCTGGGCAAGGAGACTTGCTTCTGGGCCTGTTTGGAGTTGCCTCCAGGCACCGCCACTGTGACTCTCCTGGGGTCTTCAGCCGGTGGGAGCTCTCCAGGGAAGAGGCTGCAGGGCTTTGAAACAACAGAGGAGGAAGAAAAGCCTCTCTCCTTGGTGTGCTCATTGCACTTTATAAGCAAAGACTTCCAGAGGGCTGTGGTTTTTGGTTTTCATTTCTTGTTTGCTTATGTTTGGGGGTTTTTGGCCATTGTGATAAGCTTTCCAGATGCCTTCTAGGGGCTCCTGCAGTGAGTCCCTGCCTACAGCACCCTGTGCAGAGTGGTCTGCTGATGGGCTCAGAGGAGCTGGGCTTGGACTAGGCAGAGACAAGAGGAGTCTGGGGGGAGAGGAAGGAGCAAGAGCTTCATTCTCCTGATGGGATGTAGCATCCAGAAGCTGGTAGAAAAGCCTGGTCCAAGATGACCAGGCCTGTGCTTAATGCATCTGTCCTTGACCCATCGCAGATGGCCCGGATGCCTCACTTCAGAGTGTTGGTCATACATGTGTGATGTCTAGGTTGAATCCTCGGAAGCAGCTCCAAGATCTGGATGCACGAGCCAGTGGCTGGCTTGGAGGTGAACCCGGGAAACACTGGTGGAGGGCAGTGTACCATGAGCCAGAGGGCCGAGAGCAGCTGGTGAGGTCACCAGGTGCCAATCAGAAGACCCTCCAGGAATGTCTGCATGGGAAGACTTACAGAGTGGTGGTGCCAAGCCCAGGAAGCACTGCACCCTGGTGCCCTTGGCTCAGCACAGGGCGTCTCCAGGCCTGCCATCCTGTGTGAGAGGCATGTGCAGTGGCATCAAAAGCTGCCACGAATCTTGTGACATGGACTGGGAAAGGCAGATAGCCATTGTGATGCTGGAGACAGGCTGGTCGGGGACAGTGAAAATGGCACCCAGTGGAGGAGTACAAACACATTGACCAAGCTCCAGCTGGCGTCTCCTCCAGGAGCGAGTGCCCTAGCAGAGCGGCTGGCGTCTCCTCCAGTGGAGAAAGCAGCCAGCTTTTGATCATGTGTAGCGGTCAAGGGTGGGCTGTAATGCAGGAATGATTCTCACTGGCCAGATACCCTGGCCTTCAAGAGTGGGCAGTCAGCTTATCCTGGGAACTGCTGTAGTCTCTGTTGGCACTGCCATGCTGCACGGCACCTGACCTTGGGATGTTTGGGCTGCGTAGCTGCTGAGAGCATGTGGGTGGTGTACTCTTAGCAGGCAGCAGGTCACAGGCCCATAGGTGTCCTTTGGGGTGATCCCCAACAGTCTCGTTCAGTTGGCTGGCTCCTTCTGGGGTGCGTGGCAAAAGCGCCTGGCTTTTATGATGCTGATGGGTCGTGGGGAGCGGGAAGGACGAACAGCATGCCCCCAGTGGGGAAGAGTCTGCAAGTTGGGGTCTTGGACACATCTGCACCCCCTGGCTGTCTGACCTGGACTGCACCGTGGAGGGCAGTGGCACCTGGCTGGAGCATCAGGTGGCATGAGCCTGGGATGACTGAGGAGAGGTAGGCATGAGGGCCTGGACTCTGCAGCTGGGGGGCTACATGAAGACAGGGGCCATTGGGCCTACCTGGGGGCCCAAGATGCAGTGTACTCAAGGATAGACCCCACGGACCCCATGGAGGGACATTGCACAGGACAGTCTGCACCCTTCACAAAGGAGCACATCAGGGAAGGGAATGGCCAGCAGGGTCTTTCCAGATTGAAGGAGACCAAAGGAGCAGGAAGCCATGAATGCTTGACCTGTTTGGAGAGAGAGATGGAAGAGGGCACTGTTGGGACACCTGGCGAGAGCATAGAGGGTCTGCGGGTGGACAATGAGCCTTCAGTATGACACCCCAGTTCTCAAGGCCGGGGTGGCCCTTGCGGGAGAGTCCATCTGAGGTAGAAGCCAGTCTGAGAGGGAGGGCAGCGTGCACACAGCTGTGGCCCTGGTGTCAGGTGAGACTCCACAGCTGCGGACCTGGCATCAGTGCAACTCAGGCCCTCCACACTGTTCTTTAAGTTTGAGGCCATAATCAAACTAAAAAGCCCAAAATACATCAAACAGTTTGTCAAAAATGAATACATGCTGCTTCTGTGTCTTCCCACGTCAGGGCTGGGCCCCCAGGTGGTTTCCAACGTGCTGTGCATGGTCTCTGGCCTCTTGTCCTTGCTGAGTGTGGCACCATCTTCCTCCAGGGGGCGCTCTCAGGAGTCTGCGGTTTCCACTCTGCCCCTAAATGGATTATCCACAGGCAAACTGGCCAAGTGTGCATATTTCCAATTGCTAAAGATACACCAGGGGAATTTCACAGCTAATTAGGACTTTTAAAAGTGTGTCTTTGCCTATTTGTGAGCCTTTTCTTTAATACTACAAACCCCCAGCATGTAGCAGTCCATGAGGGGCAGAGGTTGGGGACATGCTGTCCTGTGCAGTGCGAGTGTGGCACCTGTGTGAGTTCCCACTCATTCACTGTGGTTTAGGCAGGGAGAGAAGCCCCCTGGGCATGTACAGTGATGACAGCTGGGTGGTGCCCCTTGGCACCTGCAGCCTCTTCTTCCACGGAGTGTTTAGAGAAAGGCTCTGCTAAAAGGCGAACAATCTGTAAACTGCTAATTCTGAAAATACGTTTTATAATGAGTGCATGAGTGTGCAGTTTCATTCAGTGTTCTTTCTCAACTACTTTCCACCCAATTGCAGTTTACGGAGCAGGCTGCAGCTGGAGCTGGGGTGGCTGTGCAGTTGACACGTGGCTGGCAGACGGACAATGGGCTGGGCGTCAAAGTCTGACAGTGGTTGTATGCTTTACCAAAGAATAGCTCAGAGTGGTCACAGCTGTTTAAAATTTAAGAACAGAAGGTGCAGCAGTGACTAGAGCGAGACACTCCCTTTGGCCCCCATCCCTTAGCTGCTGCCCAGCCTGGCAGGGCCCCTGCCGCAGCCTCTGTCCTCCCAGCTCACAGTTCTGAGCACCTGTTTCCATCAACAGAAATGCAGTCTGGGTCCCAATTCCAAACACAGTGAGAAACACACCTGGGCTAGTTTTTCTCTCACGTGGCTGATGTGGATCCAAAGTCTCTGATAGTCAGCAGAGGCATGGCCACACAAGAGCAGCAGGCTAGCCGTGAGTTAAGTCAGGGCTCGAGGGCTCGAGGGTGGGAGCAGAGATGCCGACTGCATGTGGAGAGACCCCTCATGTGCACATGCCCTACCCCGGACAGTGACACTTGTGCAAAGAGATCTGGCCTCTTGGAGAGATGTCTGCTCCTGTCTGTGCAGCAGCTGCTGGGCTCTGAGGCAGCCTGCTGCGTGGAGGTGAGGGGACGCCCTCCCACCTTTCCAGCATCTGGGTGCGCACTGCTCTTGGAGATGGCATTGATGTTCAGGCTACTAAAATGGCATTTCCTTCTGTCAGAGGCTCCACCAGTTAAGAAGCTGGACCTGAGTGAGCTTCCAGACCCCCAGCTGGATTTGTCCCAGGACTGCATGCCTAATGAGAAAACCAGGAGCCCTTGGGACCTGAAAGCCACGCTGGGGGGACAGGAGGCGGACTTCTTCCCGCCTGTGGAAGGGCTCCACCTGAGCGAGTTCCGGAGGCCCCCTGATGCCACAGAGCACTGGGCAAGCGAGGAGGAGATCAGGCGCTTCTGGAAGCTGAGACAGGAGATCGTGGAGAACGAGAAGGCTCAGGTCCTGGAGCAGCAGCTCCTGCCCATCGAGCTGCCCCCAAATCTCAAGGCAGCATTAAGCAGTAAGGGGAAAGAGCACCTAAAGCCACGGAGCCTACTCAGGTAAGGCGGGAAGCAACTGAAAGTGTTCGCAGAAGTGTGACCACGATTTACAGTGCTGCACCACACTGCTGTGTGTGAGTGCCACGAGTGCCACCTGGGTCAGGACCAGAGTGGGCAAGAGCCCCCAGGAGAAGGCGCTCAATGGGAGGTCACTTGAGAGAAGACCAGACATGGTTGGTTGTGTGTGCACCTGTGTGCACGTATGGATGTGTGATGTCACAGGAAGAAGACCAATCACCAGTGGTGTGTGTGTGTGTGCACACGTGCACCTGTGTGCATATATGGATATGTGAGGTCACAAGGGAGAAGACCAATCACAGGTGGTGTGTGTGTGCACCTCTATTCACATATGGATATGTGAGTTCACAGAGGAGATAGACTAATCACAGGTGGAGTGTGTGTACACACCTGTGTGCATGTATGGATATTTGAGGTCACAAGGGAGAAGATCAATCACAGGTGGTGTGTGTGTGTGTGCAGCTGTGTGCATGTATGGATATGTGAGGTCACAGAGGAGATAGACCAGACACAGGTGGTGTGTGTGTGTGTGCACCTGTGTGCACATATGGATATGTGAGGTCACAGAGGAGATAGACCAGACATAGGTGGTGTGTGTGGACATGTGTATGTCTGTGTGCACGTGTGGATACACGTATAGAGGAAAAATGTGTCAGAATAACAACTGAACCTAGATGACGTGTCCCCCAGAGCATCTCATCGCATCCAAGGGGACATGACTGGATCTTAGAGATGGTAACGTGACAGATATCTGTGGCCCTCCAGAGCCACCCCAGGAGCAGATGCACAGTGCACCTGTGGGTATGCTAGGCCACATGCGCGGGAGCTAGGTGGCGTGAGGACAGGTGGAGAGCTGTGGGCTGCATGGGAGGGGACTAACGATGGGGGCACTGATCCTTCTCTGTCCTGGAGGTCGAACACTGTAAAGGTGTAGGGACCTTGAGCACTCTGACAGACAGTGACCTTGGCAGTGTGCAGTGGGTTTCCAGCCACAGCAAGGCCTAGGAGGCCCAAGCTCTTAGAGTGTTCTCCATCCTGGGGACAGGAGTGTAGCCCGCTGCTCCCTCCCTCCTTCCCCTACTGTTAGGAATGATAATGATGCTTTTCCAAGTAAGTCGTGGCAAGCTCCCCGTTTGGATCCCAGCTCCAGCTGGGCGTGTGCTTGGCAATGTGGGGCTGAGGCCACCCAAGCCTGTGCCTTGACTCAGTCACATGCTGACGCTGCAGCCACTTCTTAGGGTGATCTGGGGATGTCTTTTCCTGTGACTTCTGCTTCAGTAGCTGGCATTCAGTGGTGGTCAGTGGGGCACAGTGTCCCACTGCAATCCATCATCCTGGTAACTGCTAAGATGAGCACAGGTCCCTGCTGTGGCTCTGGTGACCACGGTTGGTACTATCATGTCTCCCGAGGCAGCTGATTGGCAGGCCCTGCTCTTGGACTTTGAGGCGTGTTCGCAGTGCTGTCTGTGTGGGTGCGGAACGTGCAGAGGAGTGCGCTTTGTGTTTTAGGAGGAAGACTACCTCCTTCAAGAGCATGTTACCCGACCTCTCGTTGCCGTACCAATCGTCGCTGTACCAGACAGTGGCTCGAGTGAGAAGCCTGGAGGAGAGTCGGGTCTTGGCCCTCAGGGACCTCCGGGAGAAGCAGGTTCTGGTGGAGCAGCGGAAAAGGTGTGTCTGCGGTGCAGGCGAGGCCCCCCTGCTGCTGCCGGGTGTGTGGCCTGCGCAGGACTGAGGGCGGCAGCCCAGGAGGCCTGGCCTGCTTCCTCCTCCCTGGCCAGGCTGTCCCGCACGCTCCCTGAAGTGCCTGGCTCTCGCTTCACAGCTCCTCGCTGCCTCCTCATCGGGCTGGCACAGGTGTGGGCACGTGTGGCCCCTGTGGCCACTCTTGACACAGTCCCCTGCTTGCCTTCTCACCACACTGCCTGCCTTCGGGTATCTCCCTAATTCCTTACTCTTTCTTGGTCCCTTCCTCCTCCCCTGTCCATCACTGACCCAACATCCTTTTCTGAGGAAGGGCATTTAGACACAGTATGGATGAGTCTGAATCATCCATGCCCTGGCTCGTCCCATGCCCTGGCTCATGGTGGCTGGCTTGCTGTTGGCAGACCACCAGGCCCTGTCCTCAGTTTCTGCCCTGCTCTGCCTACCAGTGCTGCTGACCACCCAGTAGCACCCTGCTTCAGGACCCAGGAGACTGGCTGGCATGGACTGTGTCCACTTGTGCTCAGGTTCACCAGTGAGGGCGCCCAGCAGGTGCTTGGGGAGACAGGGAGAGAAACGGCAGACTTTCTATCTCCCTGGCCTCTCCAGCCTCTCCCCCAGGCTGGCTACTCCATCCCTGGTGTGCCCGTGGGCCTTGGGGTGACCTGGCCAAGGCAAGCCCCGGTGCCTGCACTGCCCCTGGGTTCCTGCTCCCTCCCCTTCAAGGCCTGCTGAAGCTGCCCACAGGGATGCGTTTCTGTCTGCAGCCAAGGGGCGCCCAGCTTCTGCGGTGGTTGGCAGGCCCCACCCAGCACCCAGACCTCTGCACCTGGCTGTCCTCCAGGAGCAACTCATGCTTTTCTAGGAAAAAAAAAAAAATACCTTGAAGGCAGAAAGCAAGTCAGATCTTTGATGCCCTGCCTGGAGCCCAAGACCTGCGGGCTTCCTTGCTGAGCAGCTCCCAGAGGCCAGCATGTGGTTAGGCTCCATCATGCCACCCATGTAGGGAGGTCACCCCCTTGTTTCCCAAGGGGCAAACAGGTCCCTCCTGTACTGTGTGACTGAGAGGCACAGACACTGCCTGGAGTCCCTTGGCTGGGAGATGGGAGGAGGTGGGGGTATTGCCAGCACACTGGGCTGGTCCAAGGTCCATCTAGGCAGGTGCCAAGAAACACGCAGACCTGTGCCCCGAAGGCCTGGGGAGGCCTGGGGAGGGTGCAGCCAGGCTTGATGCCTCAGGGCCACTGTGGTGGGGCAGAGGGTCAGGAGGAGACGAGAGGCCAGTCTGGGGCATGAGGTGCAGGAGAGCCAACCAGGAACTGCCAACAGACCAGGAGTTGGTTCACACAGGAAGGTATACCTTGGGGCTACAGAGGAGGCTTCGGGGTGGATCAGCCCTCAGCTGGGCCAGGGCTCTCAGAGGCCCCATCCCATCCCCAGCCACAGGGGACAACTTAGAAATTCTGCACTCCTTAAGGAGCCAAAGCCCAGCTGCAGAAGATGGGCCTTGCTCACAGCCCCTGGGCATGGCCCTGCCCCAGGGAGTAGGCACTCTGCCCGAGGCCGGGGAAGACTGGAGGCACTCAGGTTCTAGAGAAAGCCACCTAGTGGGAAGTCTGCTTGTGAGTGGGTGGTCTTTGGAACCTTCACAGGCAAGGCCTGAAGGCTGCTTGCAGACCCTGTGGCTCTGGCTGGGCCCTTCCTGGAGGGCCCATGGGCCCCTGTGCTTCCCCTTGGGGACAGGCAGACAGGAAGAGAAGGCTGTTTGTATGCAGCTAAAAAGACAGAATTCTTTGTGAGCACTGCTTGAAGCTGCCTGTGGCTTGTGACATTGATACCACAACGTGTTTTCTCCAGAGAAAAGAGACCCTGCAGGAGTGGAGGGAGCAGGCCCAGGTGATGAGGAAGAGGCAGGAGACGCTCACTCAGCTGCTGCCCCTGCAGAGGAGCATGGTAGGCACAGCGTGGTGGGCAGGGCGGGCAGGGCACCTGCACCTGGGCCAGCCCTGCAGGGCAGGTGGGGCTGCACGTGGTCCCACACAGCTGGGGAGTGAGACTGCCGGGTGGAGCTGGGCATCCTCTGGCCTGGCCTCTGGGACACCCTCTTAGCTGCTGCCCTGTAAGATCTGTCCAGTGGATCAGGTGCTTGCAGAGGGAAGGGAGATAGGAGTTAGGGGAAAGGGGGAAAAATGAAAATAAAACACCACCAGGTTCCACGTGTTTACAGGTGTCTTCCTGGGACCCTGACCCTCATCTCTGCCTCAGAGGCCGGGAAGCGGTGGCCTCAGTGACCTTGTCCTTGGACCTGGGGTTGCCAGCTCTCAGGCTGGGTGGCATAAGGTGCTGTGGGTGTAGCTCCCGTTCCCATATCCCCAAACTTGAGGTGCAGGTGACAGGAGGGTGCTGGGAGCCGGCCTCTCCTCCCGGCCTCACCTGGTGCTCTGCTGTGAGCTGACTGCAGGTGTGCTGCTGCACTGGGCCACCCGGGTCTCTTGTCACTTCTTGACAAGAAGCCAGGTGCCTCTGTGGTGCCCAGCACCACCCTGGGAGGTCCCCAAGGCCTTTGCCTGCACCCCAGCAGCAGCTGCAGTGCTGCGCGGCCGGCATCTTGATTTCACATCACACTGGTTTCCGACTCACAGGAAGGTTGCAAGGCAGCACCAGAGTCCCACGCTCCTCACCCAGCTGGTGTTGACATCCCGTGTGACCTCAGAGCAGGGCTGGGGACTGCTGTCCACGCAGGTGCAGCGCCAGGGTCCAGACAAAGACCACGTCTCACCAGCTTCCCCACCGATGGGTTGCCCTGTTCTGCTCAGGTGTCCCGTGGCTCACTGTCCTCACATCCCCCAGGGACCTCCAGGAGAGGGCGGTGGTCAGTCTTCCTGTGTCCTTTGTGACCTGTCGCCTCTGTAGTGCTGATCAGTCACTGTGCAAGCACCTTGGCCAGGACTCACCTGGCACTTCTCACAGGGAACCCCAGGTTTTCCATTTGGGGCAGGACCTCAGGAGTGACCTGTGTCTTCCCAGGTGCAGCACTGGGGGTGATTGACCTGGTCCCTGTCGCCTGGTCAAGGTGGTGTCTCTTTCTCCCTGTGGTCTCAAGGTCCTCCCCTCTGTAGCTGACCCAGCCTCACCTCCAGGAGACCTGGAGCCTTGCACTTACCTGTGGCTGTGGCTGCAGCTGGCAGAGCTTGTCTGCAGCATCTGGCCTGCTGCTGATGACCCTGGGAATCTCTGTGGTTGACTTCTGCTCACCCTTTACCCTGCTGGAATGTCAGTGGGTTGGCACCACTGACCACAGTAGGGCCTCTGGGGCTCTGCTGTGGTTGGGGTCCTGGGTCCTGCCTGGTGGTATGGGCTGCCTGCACCTGGCCTGGCACACCATGACAGCTATGCCAACTCCAAGCCTGGCCTGCTCACACTCTAGATGGAGAGGTGGCCACATAGTGGGACTGCCTGCCGTTCAAGATGCTTTGGGTCCTCCCTTCAAACAGAACCTGTTGCTTCAAGTCAGAGGCATGTCCTACCCTAGAGATCTTTCTCAGGAGCAGAATCAGCAGTTTGGCTTCAAGATGTCCGTGAAGCACTATCTTCCCGGGGCTCAAAGGTGTCCCGACCCTGAAACCCCACACCTTCCTTTATTGTGGCAGAGTGCTGAGGCCGCTGCAGCTGTCACTGTGTGGCTGTCTGTCCTGCTCAGCATTCGTGCCCACTTCCACACACTGAATGTTGTGGATAGACCCTCACGTTCTTTATTTCCTGACATATTAAAATTTTAGGTATATGTTACATTGCCTCTAGGAAACACACACACACACACAATGAGACACCCTTAAGAATGCTTTCAGAGCTTGATTATAGAAAAAAATTGAAAATAACTTAAATGTCAGCAGGTAGATATGACTAAAGAAATTGTTACATCCAAACTATGGGTTATCAGCATAGCGTCAAAAATGTTGAGTTAGATCTATTATCTACTGACTCGAAGATATCTTGAAGACAAGGTAAGCCAGGTGTAGTGGCACATACCTGTCATCCTGGTGACTCAGGAGGCTGAAGCAGGAGGATCCCAAGTTCAAGCTCATCCTGAGCAACCTAACAAGACCCCGTCTCAAAATATAAAATGAAAGGGGCAGGATGTAGCTTAGTGGTAGAGTGCCCCTGGGTTCAACCCCCAGTATACCCCCCACAAAAAAACCCACCAAAATGGCTATAAGTTAAACCAACACGATTGCAGAACATGCACAGATCATATTAGAGCGTGGCTGGTAGTGGAGGAGGAAGCAACACTTCCAGGGCCCTTCCCAGGCCTGAGTTTGCATGCTTTGATCTTGAAGAAGGGAAAAGTGGGTCCTGTAGAAACTCATCAGCGATAGACTGATTCAGACAGCAGGAGCCAGGACACGCGCTGTGCCCCCATCTCCTGCTGCAGCAGCACAGAGACAAGTGAGACAGTGGTGGCACAGCAGGTCAGGGGCGTAGCGTGCAGGGAAGCAGCAGGCCTGGGGCAGGTGGCTGTCACTACTGGCTTTCCCAGAAATCCTGAACCTCAGCATGTGGGCATTGTGCCCCTCCCAGACCTGTGCCCACCCAGATACTGGAAAAATGTTTTGTATGGCCCCGAATACTATAATCAAGTCCAGAGATGACAACGTTTGTGACAAGGTGTTGGTATCTACTATGTGAAGATATTTAACAATCAGAGACTCCAAGAGGAGTGTGGGTGGAGGTCCCCACAGCCATACGTGCACACACAGAAACAGCTGCTCAGGAGACTGAGTGCGCTCAGGCCAGCCATCCATGGTCTGCGGCAGGATAGGGTGGGGGCTCAGGGAGGGGCTGCCGTCACTGTACAGCAGCTGCCAAGGTCTTGAGGGAGTGAAACAGTTAATTGTTGTGCTGGGGACTGCACCCAGGGCACGTGCTCTACCACTGAGCTGATACCCAGTCCTTTTGAATTTTTTAAATTTTGAGACAGGTTTCTAAGTTACTAAGGCTGGCCTTGGACTTATAGTCCCTTTGCCTCAGCCTCCCAAGTTACTGGGATGACCAGAAAGCCCGGCCTGGACAATCTCTCTTCAAGTGAAGAACAAGTATTTTTGAAAATGTCCAGGAGTCCATCATGCCCAAGTAAAAGCAGTCGGGTCATGGGCCGTTTCCAGAGGCGAGTCTGCCTGCGTAAGCCCGGCCGTGCTGCCTGTGACCAGGAGCTGGCCGCACCCGGAGGTCTGTACAGCAGGGCCAAGACAGCCTCCCAGCCTGTGCCTGCTCCTGCAGTCGGCCGGAGGACGCGAGAGGGCGCCAGGACCCTGCACATAGCCTGCAGCTGCTCCCTGGATCCTGGGCAGTCAGCGGGAGTGCCCACGTGCTCGTCCACCTCAGGGGTCCCAAGTGTGCAGCCTGTGCAGGCGTGACAGGCAGGGGCCTGCTGTGGTGGCTGCAGGGAAGACCTCCGGCAGCTGGCAGGTGCTCCTGGATCCTGGCTCTGCCCAGAGCCTTCGTTTCTGTTTTTCAAGGTGGCTGCCTTCAGCACCAGTGCCCTCCACACTCCAGTGTGAAAGGGGCCTTGGCGGCCACTGGCAGGCCCACACCTTGGTCCCGAGTTTCCCACGCAGATCTTCCCCACTTAGGTCTTCCTCAGAGAATCGGATACTTTGTAAATATTCTTCCGTGTTGGTGGAATGTGCCTGGTTGGGCTTTTTTCCAAATGCTTTTAATATTTAAAAAAATTAAATTTCTTGACTTCAGAAGGAAAAAAAAGCCTCCTGAATGGAGCTTTGTCATCTGTCTGTTGGAGTCACCCGTGAGACACTCCTAGCCAGTGGGCCTGTGCCGGTCCCCAGCCCAAGGCCAAGGCTGCTGTGTGCACACCGTGCTCGTCTGGGGTGTTCCATGCAGACAGACAAGGTCCACTCAGACGGGAGAACAGACCTCAGTCGGTCCTGCCAGACTGCAGCTGGGGAGCCCCTGGCAGGAAGTTCACCCTCCCATCCTCACACTCACTACCCACTGCTCTGTCAGCCCTCCAGTCCTGGCAGTCCCCGCACAGACACACCACAGCAGACACACTCGTGCCTGCAGGCACACACGCTCCTGCACACGGAGACCCAGAGGTCCCCCATCAGGCTCCACTGGAGGCCATAGTGAGCAGCGCCCTCGGTGTGTCCACCCCCGGTGTCCAGGTTGACTCCTGAGTATGGAGGCCCCCAAGCCCCCAGCTCCGGTGCTGACGCTACAGGAGCAGCTTGGGACCCCTGTGTAGAGACACCGTTCCATGGTCCTGGCAGTGAGCTGGCGGCTGCAGTGCAGGATGTGGGCAGGGACCAGCACAGCGCGGGTTACAGAAGCCAAGAGGAAGCTGGGCCTGTTGGGCCATACAGCCAAGAGAAGCAGCGGTGAGGGCACAGACGGCGGGCAGGCACAGACGGCGGGCAGGGAGCGCAGCAGGACTGGAGGTGTGGAGTCTCGGGAAACCAGTGTGGCCCAGTGTGCCTGCTGGTGGGAGTGGGGAGGGGCCGGCGCCCGCCAGGAGTCCAGCCAGCTTCCAGGGGTGGCGTGTGGGAGGAGGGGTGGGCCAGGGCAGTGGACAGGGAGTCGGGCGTTTTCCTACTGACCAGAGAAGGGTGAGAAAGCCCAGGTGACCTGAAGTCTGAGTGGGGTGTCAGGAAGAGGGAGCGTGGTCCAGTGGCGGTGCTGGACCTTTGTGGTCATACACAGGAGTCGTTTCCCTGAGTCCAGCTGGTCTCTTGGTTTACAGACAGCCTGTTGGTCTCTGCCCTAGCTGGGCCACCCCTGCCTGGTCACTGTGCCCCTCTCCACATTCTGCTTCCCTGCCATCTCCCAAGTCCAGTAAAATCAGAAGTCCGTCTGTTCCCGCAAAGCAGCCCTGGACTGGGGACTGCCCCTGAAAGCCTGTGGACAGCAGGGGCTGTGGCTGTGTTTGGGCCTAGCCCAGTGCTCCCCAGTGCAGTGAGGTCAGCCTCCCAGCCAGGCAGGCCCGTTGGTCCATGTGCTCGGCTGGCGGCCAGCTGGCCTTGCCTCCTGGGCACAGGTGGCTCTGCCCTAGCTTCTGTGTGGAAGCCTGGGGCCCATTTTGGGCAGCGGGCATCATGTTCTCTCAGGTGACAGGATCTCAGGGCGACGGGGGCCAGCCTCGGCAGGCTCAGGGGACACCCTGGGTCCCTCGCGCCACACCTTTCTCTGCACACCCTGGGCCGTCCAGGAAACCTCCAAAAGCTGTCCAAACCCACATCCACGGTGGGGAGAGCCCACCCAAGGCCAGGATGGTGACCACGTGTAAACAACACCCCCTTTGGACAGCAGGCCAGGTGCCAGGAGCAGCGTCTTCTCAGGAGCCTGAGAGCGTCTTGTTGCGTTTCCCTAGATGGCATCCAAGTACCCATTCGCCGTGGATCTGGTGGACAGTGGGAAAGCCCCACCCAGTCCATCTGGAAGAAGGAGACTCGGCAAAGAGAGGACATCACACACAAGTGAGATCAGGTTGGTGACAGCAGCTGTCCTTGGCCCTCTGGGCTGTCTGCTCCTCAGCTGAGGCTGTGGCTCAGCCCACCGGGGGCGTGGGGGGGAGCGGACCATCGTGCTGAGGCTCCCAGGGACCTCCTGCAGCCAGCCACAGCCCAGCCACCCCAGGACTGAGGCTCCAGGCCCTCTGCGGAGACTACTGCCTCGCTGCCGCCCTGTTCGCCCCACTCCTTACAGGCCTAAGCTCTAACTCGCTCCGCAGCCCTGGCTTCTTGGGCTGATCCTTGGGCCTCAGCTGCAGGAGACCGATGGCTGTGGGGCTGGGAGGCCGGTGCTAATTCAGGCGGAGGAGCAGCGACCCCAGGAAGGAACAGCTGGGTCAGGAGGCCACAGTGGGAGGCCACCGAGCAATTGTAGGATCTGAGTCTGGCTATGTGGTGGCCAGGCATCTCTCTCCAAGGGCCAGGTCATCTGGGCAACCATCTGGAGCTCAGGAAAGCAGAGGAGATATGGGGACATGTGGGGCCAACCAGGGAGAGGGGAGAGTGGGAACCTCAGGCTGCACCCTTGGGACAGCTTAGGGACAGCATGGTGTCACAGAGCAAGGGGCTGAGGCCGAGGGACAGGAGGCCCACAGTTAGCAACAGATCCTGGGCCTCTTCTGCCATCCCAAGTCCTTGTACTCACCATCAGGAATGGGAGCCTCAAGGCTCTGCGTTCGGTGCTAATAGAAAGAGGTCTTTTTAAAACCCCTGCTTGGTAGGACTTCCCACGGCTCTGTTTAAAGATCCAGCAAAACAAGACGTGCTGCTCTCCTCTGTGTGCTCACGTGGTGTGGCGGTGTGCAACAGAGGACTGTCCTGTGGCTTTGGAGCTGGGGGGCCCAGGCAGGGACAGTCCCTGCAGGAGGGGACAGGGAGCCAGGGACCACACATGGCCTGGAGAAGAAAGGAAGCTGTCTGGGTGGAGGGAGTGCCAGGACTCCGTGCCCAGGCCAAGCTCTGCGGTGCCCTGTGTTCCAGAGGCGGTGCCAGCCTGGAGGAGCTAGTGAAGCATCAGGAGCGGCCAGTGTGGGCACGCTGCAGCTCCAGAGGCGTAGCGCCACTGCCGGAGCTGAGGACCGCCACCCAGGACCTGGACTCTGTGAGTGTGTGCACACTGGGTCTGCTGAGCACGGGCCCCCAGCACGGTGGGGATGATGTGTCCTTTCAGAAATGTGGGGGGTGTTCCAGGATTGCCATTGGTCACCCACTTCACGGTGAGCCTGGGTGTGCTGGGACCTGAGGGTGCAGCAGGAGGGGTCTGCCAGCAGCAGCCACAGCCCTGGATGGCAACTGTCCACTCCACACACCTGTGGGGTGCCTGTGGAGGCTCTGGCCTAGGGCTGGCCATGGGGGGCACTGTAGGCTTGCCAGTGACCGTGTGCCCAGCGTCTGTAAGAGAAAGCCTGATGCTCACGGGGTCCAGGCGCTTCTTGGGAGCCTCCTGAGCAGACCTGCCCCCAAGCCCCTCCTGATGCTTTGACTTTGAACCTCGTCCCACCCAGCACTGCCAGGGGGAGCCGCCCAGTGCTGCAGGCACGGCACAGCGAGAGGGAGGCCCTTTTCTGCCTGTGTGGCCCAAGGAAACTGCGGCCCTCCCAGTGAGCACCAGGCGCCTGTCCCCACCTTGCTCACCACGGGCCCAGCCTGGTCTCCGGGGGCACCCAAGCCTGACAGTGTCCTGAGCCCCCCTCTACGTCAGGCTGGTGCTAGGCTGCCACCGCACTGTCCAGACAGGAAGTCCCTGCTCCCTGTCCCCAAAGCCCATCTGTGGGCCCTGTCTCCATCATCTTCAGGTGACAGAAGGAAATGTTGACAGGAAGCAGCCCACAGAGTTGGCACTTGCAGGTTTCCTCAGGTCAGACCAGGTGCCAGGAGAGGAGGCGGCCCTGCCCTCTGCCCTGATAGAACCCTAAGCTTTAGCTGGGCACAGGCATCTCACAAATGGCCCATTCCCTCCTTCTCCCACACGTCACTACTCTGGCCAGCAGGGTGAGACAGCTGTGTTCACTCTCCCTGAGCCTTGGCCTTCCCTTCCCCTATGCAGAATGCAAGCATGAGTGCAGGAGCTGGGCAGCCGTCATGGGCCCCCGTGAAAGCCTGATCGAGGATACAGAGTAGCAGGCTGTAGGAGTGTCTGCTCTCCAGTCCTGGGAGCTGGACCCTGGGCCTAGCAGCTGAGCCCGAATCCTGACACAGGCAAGGCCATGTGGTTTTGCAAAATAAAAGCCACCTGCACCTGCAGTGTTAAGGGCCTATAGAGACAAATGCCAACAGGATCCAAGATGATTTGTTTCTCAGAACCCAAAACACACAGGAACACAATCTAGGAACAGAGGGACTGAAGGCTGGAGGCCTGGGCTCCGGTGAGATCCAGCCCATTTACTGGCACCACTTGGTCCACTGGCTCCACAGGCCTCCAGAAGGTGGTTGGGTTCCTCTCTAGAGAATGGAACAACCTGGCATCATAGGCGTGGTGTCGGTGGCCGTGGGCTGCCTTTGCGAATCCCGAGAAGAGATGAGGGCCAGCCTGTCGGGGTCAGGCCAGGAGCTTTCTCACCCCGCCTGTCCTCTCAGCTGGCCAGGATGAGGCTGCAGGCCTTCTGAGTGACCCATGTGAAGGAGAGGCCTTGCAGACCAGGTGGACAGTGAGCGGGGAAACAGACCTCACTGAAGACAAGTAAAGATTTCAATCCAGCTTTCCAAATCCTGCAGCAATAAAGAAGACACTGCATCACGAAACACAGCAAGGTGCTCCCCAAACAGGTGCTCGACTCCCAGGGAGAGCTCTTGGAGGTGGAGCAAAGATGTGGCAACGATTTTAAAAGATTAAACTCAGCGCACAAGCTGAGCAAACCCCCCGGGTAGTGAAACAAGCAAGAGGAGTGGTGGAAATCAGAGAGGGGTGCGGTTTTAAGAGCCAAAGTAGAGGGTTGATCCTGAGACCCAGCACCTGCTGTCGTGTCCTGGTCTAGAGCAGGTGGAAGGAGTAACAGTCCTGGGAGGACACGGCCAGCTCAGGCCTCTCAGGCTGGCTGCACTCAGATGTGAGATTTGGGGCTCAGCCTCTCTGGGGACCACCACGCAATGCTGGGGGCCAGCCCATGTGCCAAGGTCTCTCTGGGGACAGGATTTGGCCAGGAGGAGAGGAGTGTCAAGAGCTGCCCAGTTTGGGAGATTGAATGGCAGGCAGGCATGCAGAAAAGGTGAGACTCCACAGGAGGCCATGGCCACATCCACAGGGAGATGAAGGCCTGCTGGAGCACAGTGGCCAGCAGGCAACAGTGCCTCCCTAGGCCCCACGACCTCCCGCTGGGTGACCATCAAACCCACAACTGTGTGGAAGCTGCAGAGGGGAGGGCTGCAGGTGCAAGTCCAGTCGTGCCCCAGGGAGGCCAAAGGGAGGACTCAGGACTGCCTTCCTCAGGGTGGGGAGGTGCCCCCTGCTGCAGTGAGCCAGGACCTCCTCCTGTTGGGCCTTGCTCCGGCCTGCAGGCTGAGCTGGGAGCCTGGGTTTGGAGCAGGGGTGTCGCTGACCACGGTGCGGGTTGGGGGGGGGGGGCGCGGCGTTGCAGGCTGGCCTGCTCTGGGTCTGTGGCTGTGGGTCTGCCTCCAGGGCAGTGCAAGTCAGTAGTTCTCCAGCAAGCGGCCTGGGTGTACCAGCTTTAGAGGGGCCCTCTGTTCACCCACTCATGCTACAGGACGCTGGGTGGGGCCTGCTGGGGACACCAAGATGAGTAGCCCTTGCTATTGGTGTCCTTGCACAGAGGGACAGCACAGGAGCACCGGGGGCAGGTTACACCATGGTGTGGAGGCAAAGCCCGGCTCTGCGGGGCTGCTGACGGGGCGGGGCTGCCTGACGGGGCGGGGCTGCCCGTCTCACTTCCCCTCTCCTCTTTGTCTTCCCAAAGGCCAAGAAGCTGCAGGAGGAAGCGGTGACACTGAGACTGGACTCGAGCTCCAGCAGAGCTCTCTCAGGGGGCCTTGCTCACCCATCAGCATCACAGCCTCAGAATATATTTTTTAACGGGAAATAATAAGAGCCAGAAGATGTTTACAGCACTGATGACAGCATCTTCAGACGTGGGGAACTGGCTTTTGGCAGGGGGACTAATGTCAGGTGCTGGGTATTGTCCTTGTGATTTATTTCACAGGCACCTGTTGTTTTTAAATAAACCTGGGTTTCTTTTCTGAGGCTGTAGGAGGCTTAAATTGCATTAAAAGGAGAGTACTGTGCCCTGTGTTTCTGCCAGTCTAGGTGATAGAGTGTTTGACTGGCAGCCAGCTGACGCCCTGGGGGCAGCTTAGTGACAAATGTGACCACAGTTTGTAGGAACCTGTCTCCTGATGTAGGGAAGGGCAGAGTCCCTGCGGTCTGAGCATTCACCCAGGTCCCTGCCCGGCAGAGGTTCGCCTTTGGCCTAGACATTGCCAGTGTGACTGTGGACTGTACATTACTCCTTTTAGTTAGGTTAGTTTTGCTGTATGTATTTTGGAACTGCGTTATTAGATGCCTACAGTTTATGTTGAGCAAACACTGTGGACTTTTCTCTACCTCTCCTTTTTTACTCCTTACCTTGAAGTCTGCTTGTCTGATGCTAATGTAAGCCTCCCACTTCTATTTTGTTGGCGTGAAACATCTTTCATTGTTCGCTTTCAACCTTCCTGTCTTCATGTCTAAATGCATCTTGTGGAAACCCATAGGGTGGGCCTGGTTTGGGGGATCGGGCCTGTCAATCTCCCTTTTAATTAGAGCGGATTCACTTACATTTAAGGCAGTAGTGAGTGAGTGAAGTCCACCATCTTTTTGTATATTGTATTTTTTTGTATATTGTATGCTTTTGTTCCTTTATTCTCCCTTTACTGCTTTCTAAAAGATTGGTCAACATTTCTCTGACTCTCTCTGGCTCTTCTGTTAGAGAGTTAGTAGCACCTTTTTGTGCTGCTCTTCCTGGTTGGTGATGGTCGTAGCTCGTGTGCTTGGCTCTGGAGTCTGTTGGCTCCACCTTCCAGAAACTGCGTGGCCCTCCATATTCTTGGAAGTTCAGTTCATGGTCTCTTGACATCTTTTCTTCATGGTCAACTTTATTTTCAAGATTATATATTTTGTCTTCATTGCCTGAAACTCTGTCTTCCATCTGTTGGTGATGCTCTCCGTTGAATTTTTAATTTGGTTTATTGATTCCTTCATTCTGAGAATTTCTTCTTGGGTGTTTTTTTTCAGAACCTCCATCTCTTTATTGAGGTGATCTTTCATGTCCTGCATTTCCTCGGATTTCTCTCCTCACAGCGTCCTTGACCTCGAAGGTGGCCCTGCAGAACCTAGTTCCACCCCACGCCCTGTGCTCTTCTGCAGGGTGTCTTCTTGATGCGTCCTCTCCATGCTGACCCTGTGGGCTGCCCACTCCTCTTGCATCCTCACTCCAGGCAAGGGTGATTTCCGTTCGTCTACACAACTGAGTTAGCAATTAACTCACTCAGATTTTGTCTGAAAACAAATGTCTTTGCCTTTATTTCTGCTCAGGATAGAATTCAAGACTGGCCGTCCTATAACCCCAGCATTTTAGCAGTTGTCCCACTGTCCTCTGTCCCCATGGGTTTGTCGAAACCCAGCTCTCCTCCTTATGGTGGCTTCTTTGAAGATGATGTCTTTTTTTCTCTGATTTTCTTAAATAATTTTTTATCTTGGTTTTCAGCCATCTGTGTTGTGCTTAGCTGCAGTTTTTACTTATCTTTAGAGAAGACAGAACTTCTTGAACCTGGGAGTTAATATCATTAATCAGTTTGGGGAAATTCTCAGCTTTTTTTTTTCTTTTTTCTTTTTTCAATATTGTTTTCTCTGTTCTCACTCCTCCTTTCTGACCACAGTTCCATGATACCAACCTACCATGGGCCTGTGCCCTACACATATTTCTTGTTCTTTCCACTCTTTATTACTTGGCTATTTCCTGCAGATATAGTTTGGGATTTACTAATTTTGTCTTCTGCTTTGTCCTGCAAAAAACCAATGAGGTTTTTCTTCATCAAAAATACAGCTCAACTCAGAATAGTTAAACTAAGGAACAAACCTAGGTGTCCTTCAACAGAAGAATGGATAAAGAAAATGTAGTATACATACACAATGGAATGTTATTCAGCCTTAAAGAAGAATGGGATTGTGGCATTTGCCAGTAAATAGATGGAGCTGGAGAATATCATGCTAAGCAAAGTAAACCAATCCCCAAAACCCAAAGGCCAAATGTTTTCTCTGATGTGCAGATGCTAACCCACAATGTGGGGCGGAGTGGGAGGGGGCACACTAGGGAAGAATGGAGTTACTTTGGAGTAGGCAGAGGGGAGTAAAGGGAGGGGAGGGGGTTATGGAGGTAGGAAGGATAGTGGAATGAATCGGACATTATCACCCTATCTGCATACAGGACTACATGACCGGTGTGATTCCACATCATGTACAACCAGTGGAATGAGAAGTCGTACTCCACTTATGTATGATGTGTCAAAGTGCATTCTACTGTCATGTGAACAAACAGAACAAAGTGAAAAATGTGCTACGGTTGGGCGCCCGGGCACAGTGGTGCAGGCCTGTAATCCCAGCAGCTCAGGGGGCTGAGGCAGGAGGATCGTGAGTTCAAAGCCAGCCTCAGCAACTTAGTGAGGCCCTAAACAATTCAGTGAGACCCTGTCTCTACATAAAATATTAAAACGAGCTGGGATGTGGCTCAATAGTTAAGGCTCCTGGATTCTATCCCTGGTAGAAAGAAAAGGAGGGAAGGAAGGAAGGAAGGAAAGAGGGAGGGAGGGAGGGAGGGGAGAGGGAGGGAGGGAGGGGGAAGGAAGGAAGAAAGAAAAATCTTCTGCAGGCTGGGGGTTTGCTCAGCAGAATGTCCTTGTCGGCATGGGTTCTGTCCCCAGTGCTCACCCCTAAGAAAGAAATAAAGGGAGGAATAAGTCAGGCTTTCCTGTAGGGAAGGGAAAAGAGAGACTAACACAGGCAGATCTGGGGTGCAGGAGCCGTGCTGCCGCCCTTGGCAGAGGCAAGATGCGCTCTGCATCCCCTGAGGCCTGCTGGAGTTCCTGGCATGCCCTGCTCTGCTGCAGTCCCTGGGCTGGCTGTCCCCCTCTCCCACTGGGTCCTCCAGCACGGCCGTCATGAGGGTCGAGTGCTGGAGTTCAGATGTCGAGGTTAGGCTCTAGGGTTTTGTGGTAGTCAGCCATGGACGCCGTCCCCTGTTGACGTCCTCGGCCTCCCTTTTCCTTCATCTTCTATGACTCACGCTTGTCTCAGGTTTCGCCTTGTGTGCCGCACGCTGCCTGTTAACAAGCCAACATGGGGCTGGGCGAGGGCATTTCTGGAGGACGGGCTCCACTGCCCAGCCGGTGAGGGGTGAAGATCACACTGTCCACTTGGCTGGGCTGGTCCCCTGTGGGGCACTCTCCTCCACATGCGGGGGGCAGAGGTCACGCCCCCTCCCCAGGACCCTGTGGAGCCCAGGTGCCACTCAGCTCACCCAGCCCTTCCCAGGCCTCCCAGCACGGGGGGCTCTGAAGCCTCTGGGCTTCCCAGGCCTGGTCCTCCCAGATGCTTGCCACTCATCCTGCGCAGAACCATCTTCTGTTCCCAGGGTGCCTAAAGATCACTTTAAGTGCAGCTCCTACACTGGCTGCGTTAAAACCACGCACTAGCAGAAGACGCGGCTGCCACGCACTTGGTGTGACCCCTGCCCTGCTCATGCCATGCCCTCCGCCCGTGTGTGTTGTGGTCCACTGCTGCCCCTTCTGTTAGCTCCTCGTCCATCGCAGGTTGCTCTGCTAATGGTTACGATTCCCTTTCCCTTCCCTCATAACCAGGTGGCGGTTCTCTATTACTTTTTTCTTTGGATACCGGGGATTGAACTCAGGGGCACTTGCCACTGAGGCACATCCACAGCCCCTTCTTGTATTTTATTTGAAGACAGGGTCTCACTGAGTTGCTTAGCACCTTGTCACTGCTGAGGCTGGCTTTGAACTTGTGATCCTCCTGCCTCCGCCTCCCAAACCACTGGGATTACAGAGGTGCACCACGCACCTGGCTCTCTGTTCCATTTGGAGTCGACCCCCATCTGTTTTCTGTGCTTCCCACCCCAACCTTTCACTTCCTTTTCTTCTCCCCAACCTTGGCTGAGGCCTAGAGGACCTCTCCCTCTGCCCCCCTGCCCTGTCTGGGTTTTCAATTGCCAAGTGACAGATCCCTCGACGCTGCTTGAAAGGTGCTCCCAGCCTGGTTAGGAAGAACACTCTAGAAGCCCTGACCCTGCGACTCAGCCCCCAACCTGGCCTGCTCCTGACGAGGCCTGCTGTCAGCTGCTTCCCCACCTTGACCCCGTGTCCCTGGGTCCTTGGTGGCGAGTCAGGTTGGCAGCCTTGCTCCCTGTTGGCACCCAGCAGGTGGCACCTGCTGCTGGGTCTCCTCTAGTGACCATGCCAATCTGTCTCTGGTGCCCTGGGGCTTCTGTTTGCTGCCCCTGCTCACACTGTGAATGAGGCCTGTCCAGGGTGAAGGCCAGGACCCCAGCTATCAGCTCTGCTACAGGGGTGGTACCTGGGGTGGTGGCTGCAGCTGGGCCAGCCTCACAACAAGCAGCAGTGGCCCGTCCTTGAACCTATCGAGGGCAATTGGCAGAAAAGGCTGGGGACGAGTGGGTTTGCTGCCCACAGCCTCACTCCCGGACCCTGTTCCCTGTGGTGGCACCTCAAGGCAGGATGCTTGGTGAGCCCACGCAGCTGATGCAAGGGTGAGGAGCACAGGGCCCAGAGAAGCAGCTGCCCTGCCCTGCCCTTCCCCTGGGGACCACCCCACCAGGCCATGACAAGGGGGGCAGCACCTCAGGATGACAAGCATTCACGTGTCCATTCTCCCGACTTGGCCAGGGGAGCATGGCCCATACCTGATGTCCTCAGGTTCCTCAGAGTCCTGCACTCAACATGAGCACCAGGAAGAAGGGCAGACACCAGCAGCTGTGGGCAGCCCAGCCCGGGGCAGGGCCTCTGGCATCTCTGTACCTTGCTCCACCCAAGTGTCAGAAGGACTCCCAGAGTAGAGCCTGGGTGGCCCCGGGACCTGTGGGTGGCGGTGGAGTCCAGGGTGGAGTTCTCCCCAAGGCAGCTTCCCACACCCTGGCCAAGGACACCTTGCTCTTTGAGGGGAGGACCAGATGGGGTCAGGGCCCTCATGCTGACTAGGTGAGATATGGCTGTGCCCG